CCCCAAAACCCCAAAACCCCAAAACCCCAAAACCCCAAAACCCCAGGTGAACATTAAAAATTATTATCTTTTGAAATATAAAATGAGTGAGAAGCTAACCATTAAGAATGTGAGGGCACGAAGAAATGCTTTTGTTGGAATGGGGTCGTCTCCAAGGGTAAATGAGGAGGAAAACAAGAATTCATCAAACAATCACTTCATCGCCACCCTCATCATGAACTCTAACAAGAGTTTTAAAGGAGATACTCATAAGTAAGAGCCTTTCGGTAGCTTATTATTCACTAGGGATGTTATAACAATGGCATAATTAGTTTAAAATTAATAATTTGCCAAACAAGTTTTTACTAGAAGACCATTCTCGCTCTACTCATGAGCTAGGTATTGAGACTTAAAAAATTAAAGAATTTGGCTTGGATTAGTCAAAATCAGTCACCACTAATTATTTCTGGAAACTCCTATAATTTCTGAATACCAACTATTGGCTAAAAGATTTTTTACTTTCTCTTAACCATCAGTAAGGGATGCTGAACAGAAGAAAATATTCGAATTATGACTAGCAAGACCTTGACCTTTACTTTCACTGGTAATAATTTCATATCAAATTATAACATCACCCAATCCTACGTAAATATAATAACTCAAAGCTCAGATCATCAACCACAAATCCCGTATTTTCTCTATATCCTACCCTATATTTTGACCTGAACTTCCTAAACTTTAAAAGGATTTATTAACCAGATGTTTTATAGAAAAGACGATGCAATTGACTCACTTGGAGACTTAATCTTACAGAAGAACAAGGTACTTTAGAGATGAGGAATGAGCTTATTTATAGGAAAGAGATGATTCGTTGGTGTCAAGACAACCTCCCGTGACGGGTAAGCTTAGAGATGAACAACAGATTTTCATAGTTTGGGGAGTTGTTTTGGGGTGAGATTTTGTTGGGATTGAAGGTTAACGGATTTAGGCATGTTCTCACAGCCTGGGAGTCCGGTTCATAAGATGGATATACCGAAGACGCCGATCAAAATTCAGAACACAATTAATCTGTTTAGTCCTAAAAATAGGCAGAATACCGGCATGCGTGAGAATAAATTAAATTCTTTTGTTTCAAATGCTCCACCTAGTAGAAGGATCCGTAATTTTGAAAATTCAAACCAAACCACGATGATGAGTAGTATTCGGGACAATGGAAATATGACTAATGAGAGAATTTTGTCCCCAACCAACAGGTCAAAGCTGACGAACGCTACCCTCAACTCACATTCTATGAATAGAAGCGGAGATGCTCCATCTGGAAGGAAGTATGTTGCAAATGTAATTGAGAGAGAACTGTTCAGAAATACTTTTATGAACCTCAGGGAGAAATCTGACACTGATAAACAAGCTAATCAAGCACCTAGATACGACAATACTGCTTCAAGGAGGTACCAGCTATAGATTGACAATTTATTTTTCTAATTCAATAAGTTCTCATGAGTAAGGGGTTTTGGGGTTTTGGGGTTTTGGGGTTTTGGGGTTTTGGGGTTTTGGGG